GTTAGTTACTTTACTAATCAGATATATTAATTACACTAACTGCCCGTGGAAGCAGCAGTTAAGAAGTCAGATGACTCATTGTATTGGGCAAATCTGCTGCAAGATAACTCTTTAAAGTGTTAAAAAGCAAAAATGTCACTTTAAGGACTAAGGTGTGTGCCTGACCCAAGCCATGGTGTTTCCAATAGCCTCATATGCTTGTAAAAGTTGGACAATGAATAAAGAATACCTAAGAAGAATAGTGAAGAATATTGAATATACTATGGACTGCCAGAAGAATAAACAAATCTGTCTTAGAAGAAGTATAGCCAGAATGTTCCTTAGAAGCAAGGATGGCAAGACATCATCTCATGTACTTTGGACATGTTATCAGGAGGGACCAGTCCCTGGAGAAGGACACCATGCTTGGTAAAGTACAGGGTCAGCGAAAAAGAGGAAGACTCTCAATGAGATAGATTGACACAGTGGCTACAATAATGGTCTCAAACATAGCAAAGATTTTGCGGATGGCACAGGACCAGGCAATGTTTAATTCTATTGTACATAGGGTAGCTATTATTTGGAATTGACCCGATGGCACCTAACAACAACCACCACCACCACACCAAGAAGTTCAATAAACATATAAAATATAAAATAACCTAGGAAAATAAAAAATTGTAGACATTATCTAAATCATTTGCATAATTTTGGTTCCCCAATTGCTTTCATTTGCTCTTTGCCTTTTAATAAACAAATCAAAACAACATAAAACATATGATCAAAAAGAGCTTAAAATACCCCACAAGCTTTCTGAAGGAGAGTATGCTCACAATAATGATGCCATGTGGAAGGTTATGCTCTTGCTGCATTGGCAGCCAGGTAAAATGAGTGAGTGGTGAGATTTCTTTAGAAAGTGGCCCATTCTGTTGTATAATGGAGGTGGTGAAGGAGAAGGATGCCCAGCAATGCATGACAAGCAGTAGATATGGTCATTACCAAGAAGGAAGAAGACACAGGAGAGATGCTAAGCCATTGCCAAACTCCTGTGTTAGAAGTCCCTCGGATGTCTTCTAATTGGCAGCATAGATTGCTTCATCTAATTTTTTTTTTTTTTTTAAGAAATGCCATAGGGAAATGAAATCAGCCTTATAAATAAAAGCACACATTTCCTTCAAATATTATTTCTGAAGGCCTGTTGATCTTTCTACTTCTTTATAGGTTTTGTTGTTACTGTCTATTATGACTCATAGAGACCCAATAGGACAGAATGGAACCGCCCTGTAGGATTTCCAAGACTGTAATTTTTATGGAAGCAGACTGCATCTTTCTCCTGCAGAACTGTTGGTGGATTTGAAACACCGACCTTTCAGTTAGCAGTCAGCGCTTAACCACGGTGCCACCAGGGCTCTTCCTCTTTATAGGTAGGGATGTTTATTCTCTGTGTGTTAGGAACCAGCGAAAGTGTTATTATTAATACATGTGATCTAATTTCTCATTTGGTAGGAATGTATAGTATTAGACATAATTCCATGACTGCACAGGAAAGAGTTTGATTGGTTTTATGAGAACTACCAAGGCTCATAATATTAGAATTTTTATTTCTTCTAAAGATTAAACAAAGAGGAAAAAGAAACAAAAATTTCCTGGGATGGTTTTATGCATCTCCCCCATGTTTAGAACTTTGCATACATTACAACTTTTAATCCTCAAAGAAACCCCAGCAACAGCATTTTACAGGTAAGAAAACTGAGGCTCAGAAAGGTTGAGTAAATTCCCTGAAGTTATAGATCTAATATATAGCACAGCTGGAATTTTTTAAGTCAAATTTGCCAAGTTCCAAAACCCGTGCGTTGATTTTGTGACATGAATACCAGCACTGAGAATACCGGAAACAGTTTAGCACACATTCATTTTTAAAGTTTTGAAAGTTTTGGAAAGCACAAAGACATCTTGGTACACACCTTTCTAGGGAAGAGGGGATATAAGGATAAGGAATGAACACATAGCAAGGTAAAACATGATATTTCAGTGTTTTCCAGCAGGAGGTAAGGAAAAGGTGGTGAGATCTACTTTTTCCAAATGTATATATGGAGTACTTGGTGGTGCAAATGGGTAATGTTTGCCTGGTAACTGAAAAGTTGGAAGTTCAAGTCCACCCAGAGTGTCTCAGAGGAAAGACCTGGTGATCTACTTTGGAAAAATTAGTCATTGAAAAACCCTATGGTGCACAGTTCTACTCTGACACTCAGGGGGTTGCCATGAGTAATAGTCGGCTGGAGAGCGACTACATATATACATATATATATATATATAAGGACCTATAACTATGTAGACCTATCCTTCTGTGGCCCCAATAATACACACACACACTCACACACAGAAATTATATATATATATACACACACACACACAAATAGAGAGATACCAATTCATCATCCTTCTAAGGATGATAGCTCCTATTATGTGAAAGATCTTCAGTTTTGCAGAACACGTTAGAATGTTCACTAGGCAAAGATGAACTACAGTTGAGCTTAAGAGTATGAGCCAAGAACTGTTCTGACTAATATGGAGAAAAACATGGATTTATTGAGGTCATTTGAGGAGAAAAGAGCAGAGGTGAGAAATAGGAGGAGGGAAGAAAATAGAGAGAGATGCTATGAAGGTGGAAATTGGGAGCTGTAAAACAGCCAGTGAAAAATCCTCTGTGGTTGGAGTGCAGATGAGGGATTTAAAAAAATAAATATGTCTAATGTCTAAATTGCAATTTTTCTTTTTTTTTGCAATACACCTCTTTCACCTGTCTTCCATAGAGTTGTCATGCGTGTGTGTGTGTGTGTGTGTGTGTGTGTGTGTTTGTGTATTTGAGAATATTTTGGGTTTCTTAATGGCATGGCGCCCTGGAGGTGCAGTGGTTAAGAGCTCAGCTGCTAGCCAAAAGGTCGAGAGTCCAAATCCACCAGCCGCTTCTTGGAAACCTTTTAGAGCAGTTCTACTGTCCTATAGGGTTGCTAGGAGTTGATTCTATTTGATGGAAATGGGTTTGGTTTTTCTGTTTGTTTGTTTTTATGGCATGGAATGGGTGAAAAGGAGGTTCAAGGCAATTTTAAGGTTTCCAGAGTCTGACATATGGGTTAACTAAGCATTATCGTAACAATTTTTAAGTCATAGCACAATCCTTGGGCATAACCCCTGACAGGTTAATTAATAATCATCACTGTATTCAGTTTTATCTTATTTGTATAGCTGTCAACTCTATAGTAATATTGAACACTGATCCTGTAGTGTAAGTATTAGCTGAATAATGAGTTCAATTTTGTGAGGGCAAAACAAAATAATAGTCACTTAAACAAATTAGAAGTTTAATTCTCATTTATGTAAAATTCTGAGCTGGCATATCATTTCACCTCTGCAGAGATTTTAGGAGCTCTGATTTACTCATTCTTATTTTTATGCCATCCCTAAAGAGTTGATCTTATTCAAATGATCTAGGATGGCTCAGTACCACATCCTTATTCCAGCTAATGGGCAGGCAGAAAGAGGAAGAGGAGAGTAAGCACACTTTATAAACAGATGTATGAAAATTGCACACTTCTCTTTTCATCATATTTCCTTGGACACATCCTACTCTTTGTCTTTAGAAAGCCTAGCTTGAGAACAAAGACAGAAGAAGTTGGTGTGGTTGTTTTTGTTTTCTTTGGCCTTGCTTTTTTTTTTTTAAGCCCTGGTGGGGCAGTGGTTAAGAGATATGGCTGTTAACCAAAAAGTAGTCAAAGAATCCACCAGTTACTCTTTGGAAACCCTGTGGGGCAGTTCTACTCTGCCCTGTGGGGTCGCTATGAGTCAGAATTGACTCGATGACAATGGGTTTGGTTTTTTTTGGTTTTTGCTTTGTCTTTTTTAGAGCTATTCCATTAAGACCAAGTCTGGATATCAAGAGCTAGCACTACCCTGGCTATATGGGAGATGTCAGCTTCCAACCCAGGCTCTGTCAAATTCCAGTGTATGGCCCTAGACCATCATTCCACTCTTCAATCTCAGTTTTCACAACTGTAGGTTGACATGCTGGCCTATATCATCTCTATGCTATAGTTCAGGTCTGATGCTCTGAAAGATTAAATTCTCCAAAGTTTATTGAATTAATTTGTAAAAAACTTAGAAGATTTTGAAAGCTTTCTTGCATATATACTGGTTTCTGTTCATGTTCAGATATTCAACTTTTCAAAGAATTCTATTTTCTTCCATATTTTTTCCAAAGTAGCAGTTGGTCACTCTAAAATAAGAAGTACTGATTTCACGATATCTTACAAAGAATAAATTAAGATATATCTTTTAATTTATTACTTAGTGCCCACATTCAAGAAAACCTAAGGGATTTTATCTGCCGTGGCCTGGAAGAGATAATTGTTACTAGGAAAAGAACCTCTGGTACAATCTGCTCTACTTTACTCAAGTTTTCTGGTAAATTCATTTAGGTAAGTGATAGGTATTTGTTTGCTTATTGGCACTCAGTGGTAAAATTTGTGGGAAAAGAAAAAAGGTTGGTTTCATGTTCTGAAGTGAAATTGAGAAAATAAATAAATTATATGAGGAAATGGATAGGAAATATAATGCTGGAAACTAAAAACAAATAAGGGGGAAAGACAGATAAGAGGACGATTAGAAAATAAAAAAACCTGAAGCTGAGTAGTGACAGAGACTCAGCAGCAGGTTTAACTGAGTTTGCTAAACTTTAATTAGGTTCCATTTTTATTAAGGGGCCCTGGTGGTGCAGTGGTTAAGCGTTTGGCTGCTAACCAAAAGGCTGGAGTTTGAATCCACCAGCTACTCCTTGGAAACCCTGCGGAGTAGTTTTACTCTGTCTTATAGGGTAGCTATGAGTTGGAATTGACTTGATGGCAATGGGTTTTGGATTTTTATTAAACCACTATTTCTAGTGTCTCCTGAGGAAAAATTACATTTATATAAAAGGAAAGGAAAAAAATGCATAGAAGAAAAACAAAACAATATTCTAAGAAAATATGAAAACATTTACCATTTAAAAAATTTCTGTACAGGTTCAGAGTTCTCATTTCTCATCCAAGAAAATTATGAGAAGAAGCTTCACTTCAGTGAGTGAGTTCATTCTTCAGGGACTGACCAGTCGCCTGGAATTACAGATTCTCTTCTTCCTGCTGTTTCTGGCCATTTACATGGTCACAGTGGAAGGGAATCTAGGCATGATTATACTCATCCAGGTGAACACCCGGCTCCACACACCCATGTACTTTTTCCTGAGTCACTTATCCTTCGTAGATCTGTGCTTCTCCACCAGTGTGACTCCAAAGATGCTGGAGACTTTCCTCTCAAAGAAAAAAACCATTTCCTATCCTGCTTGTCTGCTGCAGCGTTACTTCTTCATCGCCTTGGTCCACGTAGAGATCTATGTCCTGGCCTTGATGGCCTTTGACCGGTACATGGCCATCTGCGACCCTCTACTTTATGGCAGCAAAATGTCCAAAAGTGTCTGCACACCCCTCATCATGGTGCCTTATGTGTATGGAGCTCTCACTGGCCTGATGGAGACCATGAGGACCTACAACCTGGCCTTCTGTGGCCCCAATGAGATGAATCACTTCTACTGTGGTGACCCTCCGCTGATGAAGCTGGCTTGTTCTGACACCTACAACAAAGAGCTATCCATGTTTGTTGTGGCTGGTTTCAACTTCAGCTATTCTCTCCTCATCATCCTCATCTCTTACATCTACATATTTTCAGCCACTTTGAGGATTCGATCTACAGCGGGTACGCGCAAAGCTTTCTCTACCTGTGGTTCCCATCTGACAGCCATTACCATTTTCTGTGCAGCTCTTTTCTTTATGCATCTCAGACCTCCCTCAGAAGAATCTGTGTAACAGGGAAAAATGATGGCTGTGTTTTATACCACAGTGATCCCCATGTTGAATCCCATGATCTACAGTCTGAAGAACAAAGATGTGACAGAAGTGTTAACTAAAGAACTGTTCAGAAGAAAATAAACTTCAGTGCTCCTATTGGCTAGGTGTTTTTTATTTGCTTTTTTAAAAAAAATTTATATGTCTTATGAATTAGTCTTAGGGCTTAATCCAAAAATAATTTGTCCAAACCTGGATGCTTGCCTTCATGCGACAGGGACGAGAATAAGTCGTTATATTTCTACTCATTCCATTCAATGCTGATGCTAGATGGAATTACATTTTTATCTTTTTGGAAAAAATATTGTCATTACATGAAGTCATGTTTTATTATTATTTGCCACTTAATAGAAACTGGAGTGTAATAGTACCAGTTGTATTTTGTAAGGAGTGATTTTGTTTCTGCAAACAAGTCTCTTAGTATTTCACTTAGGATAAAGACAAAACATTGTAATGTAGTCAATCACATTCTGTGTGGCTTGATCTCTGGGTATCTCTCCAACATCTCCTAAAACATTCTCCAGTAGCTATCTGTACTCCAGTCTCCCTGGCCTCTTATACTCCCTTAACATGGGACATTATTTTTCTTTTGGGTTTCACATTTGTTCTTCCCTCTGCTCAGAATGTTTTTCCTCATCTTTTATATATCGTAGAAAATTTTCTGAGTTAACTCACATGATATTGTTATAATTATTATGTAATCTCATAACTCCATGTGTCACTATCTTTGGAAGCTCATCCCAGCTGCAACTTTACATTCATGAGGCTTCTGATTAGTCTCTCACATCCTCAGCTTGTATATTTCATGAGAACAGAGCTCACATCTGCTTTTGCTCACTTCCTTCCAGAAATAAGCATAGTGATTAAAAGAAATAGTTCATCTCTATTAATCAGTTGAATAAAGGGATAAATTAATGTTCTCTTTACATTATATTAATGTTGCTATTTTGAATTTTTATTATAAGATTGTTTGATTTATAAGTTTGTTTTAGTTTTATAATAATAGTTTAAAATATATAGTTATGTTTTGAAATATGTTTATATGGACATATATGAGGTACCCTGGTGGCACAGTGGTTAAGTGCTTAGCTGCTAACCAAAAGGTGGGCAGTTTGAACCTACCAGCGGCTCCACAGGACAGTAATGTAGTCTGCTTCTGTAAAGATCCACAGCCTTGGAAACCCTATGGGACAGTTCTATTCTGTCCTATAGGGTCGCTATGAGTCAGAAATGACTGAATAACAATGGGATTTGGTTTTGGTACATATACAAAATCATATTAATAATAATTAAAATATGACTTGGAGGGGGTGTGCCATCATTAATTTTTATTTCAAAGGACCTAAGACTTTCATTTCCAGCAACATGGCACACTACATATATATTAAAAATAATTGACTAATAAAGACAAAAATATACAGTTCATAATACAGATTTAAAAATTTTTTAAATGTATATCTTAGCTTTCAGGAAAGTGATGGAAATTCACAGAGTTCAAAATGGGTTGACAGTAGAATTAGGGGTGGTAAGTGGGAGCAAGAGCCAACAGCAATCCTAAGGGTAACCTAGAGCCTCAGAGATAATCATCTGCATGGGAGATGGGTTACCAGTGATGAGCTGTGCACAGGGTGAGCAGTTGGAACAGAGATGCCACGTGAAGTTAGAATTGCTGAAGAGCTACAACCTCCAGAGTCAACAAAAATGGAGCTGGTCTATCTAGCCTTTGATTCCTGGAGAAGTTAAAAATTTTATTTTACTAAAAAAAACTAGAGTTAGTGCTGCCATAAGGCCCAACAATTCCACTCCTACATATATACCCTAGAGATCTAATAGAAGTGACATGAACAGATTTCATTGCAGAACTATTCTCAATAGCAAAAAAATGGAAGCAACATAAGTGTCCACCAATGGATGAATGGAGAAGCAAAATGTGGTATGTACATACAACGGAATACTACTCAGCAATAAAGAAAAATGTGTTCCCAAAACATCTTACAATGTGGATGAATCTGGAGGACATTATTAAGTGAATTAAGGCAATCACAAAAAACAAATATTGTATTTCTCACTTTTATGAAATTACATGAATAGGTAAATATAGTGGTTACCAGGGTTGGGGGTGGGGAAAGTGGGAGTGGAGAAATACTCTCTAGGTAATAGTCACTTTTTTTTTAATAGAAATGGGAGAAAGATGGAAGTGAATATGGGTGAAGCTTCCAGAGCATGACTGATGTAACTGATGACAATAAGCTGTACATAGGGAAAAGTGATGAATGAACAAATGCTAGGTTTTGCAATAATAACAACGACCAAAAATATAGAAGGGGGAGTAGAGATGATGATACTAATTAGACATAGCTTATCACCTCATAGGATTGGTTCTTTTGGCTTAGGGGCTCAGGGCCATGCTCTTGTGGGACAATCCAGTTAATAGACATAATATGGTTTAAAGCTTATATTCTACCTCCCAGTATGGTGAGTAGTGTCTGGCATTTTAGAAGCTTACAAGTAGCGATGTAAGATACAACTATTGTTTTTTCATTATCTGGATCAAAAGAAAAAGAAGGAAACCCAAGAATCAGAGAAGGAATTGAACTACAGGACTGTCTACATGGACCACTGCCTCCTTCACCATGAGACCAGAACTAGATAGAGCCTGGCTATCACTAATGAACGTTCTGATCAGTAAACACAGTAGATGAATTCTGATAAAAAGAGATAAAAATGTGGAACAGAACTACAAATTCTCAAAGAATTCAGACTTACTAGACCAGATGTGGCTGGAGGAGCCCCTGAGCCTATGACCCTGAGTTACTCTTCAAACCTTGAGTTGACATTATCCTTGGAGTCATCTTTAAACAAAGTAATAGTTTAACCCGAAGACTAAAGATTGTCACCCTTGCGTGCTGCATTAAAAAAAAAAAAAAATCTATAAAAGGCTGAAGGGTCAATAGCTATTTTAAAGAATAGATGAGAAGGTTGAGGGGCAAGGAGATTAAATAAACAGAAGTGAAATAACTAGAACAGAAATTAAGAGAATGTTGACAAAATATGAAGAATGTAACCAGTGTAACTGATCATTATGTCTAGAAACTGTGTAATGAGAACAGATTTTGCTATGTATATTTTCACCAAAAGTAAAATTAAATTATAAATCTTATTTTAAAATTCATGACAATAGGCTAATGTTCATGTCAATTGGAGGTTTAGATTTAGAATGTTTTAATGGACTATAAAATTGCAAACCGAAAAATGAATTTAAAGAAGATCTGGATAGGAAGCTGTCTCAGGGGACTGGCACAAGCAAACACAAGTATGTGTCAGAGGAATGAATAATCAACCACTCAGGGCTCAGTGAATTTTCACAGTTAAAGTTCTGGTTTATATAAAATTTAAGGAAAATAAGAAAATTCAAACACATACGCACACATAAGTGAAATGTATGATCATGAGAAATTCAAAGACAACAGAAAACTTAAAAACAGCTAGAGAAAAATGATACATTACCTCCAAATAGCAATAGTAAGATGAGCAGCTGACTTCTTAAGAGAAATAATGGAGGCCATAAACAAACATGATCTTTAAGGTGTTAAAAAAAACAAAAACAAAAACAAAAACAAAAAAAACAAACTGCCAACCTACGGTGTTTGTCTAGGGAATACTTTCAAAAGTAAAAGCCAAATAGAAATATTTCCTGAAAAGCAAGAACTAGGAGAATTTGATACCAGCGGACCCAAAATAAGAAAATAAGCAAAGAAACAAATAAAACACTGAATGGCATTCTTCAGGTGGACTCAGATACACACGTACTTGATCACTTAAGTTATGAGAAAGACACTGAAATGAATTGGGAGATTAAGATCTTTTCAATAAACATTCTTGGATCAATAGTATATCCATGTGGAGTTAATACATCGTCACTCACTAATCACACCATGCACAAGTATCAACTTCTGTTTGATTAAAATACCTAATGTCAAAGATAACACAATGAAGCTACTAGAATGAAGTGTAAAATAATATATTCATAACTTTGAGATAGCAAATATCTCTAAACCAAACACAGAAATTATGATGTATTGGACTGCTTTCAAATTAGGAAAAGTCATTATCAAAAGGCAACATTAAAAGAATGGAAAGGGAAGGTACAGATTGGGAGAAGATAACATTGCTACACACATCTGATAAAAGTCTCATATCCAGAATATTTTATGTAAAACTTCTATGAGTAAATAAAGAAGCCAGATAACTTAGCAAACGGTATGAACAGGCACCTCTGTAATAATGGCATGGGGGCGGTGTCTGATCTCCTCTCTCTTCACAAGGGGGAAGGAGAATTAAGATCAATAGCCCAAGGCTGATTCCTATGAGGCAGAGGTCAGACACACTTCCTCTCTCTGCCATCTTTACCAATTCTGATACCAACCATCCCTCCTGTGGCACTCTCTGCATCTCTGCTGGGTTTGATAATTCATTGCAATGGCCACACAGAACTCATAGACAATACTCATGATTATGGAGTTTATTAGGGAAGTAATGGGTTACAATTCAGGCTCAGGAACACTCAGGATACAGTTCTTCCATCAGGACAGCTTCTTTTCAGCCATGCTCGCAGGCACAGCTCTGTCTGGCCCTAGGCCTCTGCCCTGCAGAGGAAAGTGTTACAAAGCTCTTTTAGTCCCTGCCAATAAGTGTCTGGAGGCACCCCACTCTACCAGTAAGCCGTGACCCAAAGACACTCAGCTTTCTCCCTCTGTAGGCCAAGAAGCCCACTGTGTGGTCTCCTGCTGGTCTCTCCTGCCACAGCTTCTCACTGTCTTCAGGGTTACAGCTTAATCTCTGTCTCCTGGGTCCAGGAGATTTTCAACTGAGGAATCCCGGGCCCAAAGGTTGGGCTCTCCACACCTGGCTGTTCTTCTTTGGTGGTGGTAGGATAGTCTCTTTCTTGCCTCTGGAATGGCTCACCACAAGCCCAGCAGGATGGCAAAAACTAACCAATCCGTTTAATGGGTCACAATTACCCTATCTGAACAGTCCACCCAATCGCCTGGCTGGGAGTTACATGACCATCACAAGAAAGGCCACACAAAAGGGATCCATTGCACTGCAACTGCACAAAGAATATTCAAAGAAGTAAATAAACTTAAGACAATGTGTTCAACTTCAGTGTTCACTAGGGGAATGCAAGTTACAATTACATTGAGGTATTATTACCTATGCACACATTCCAGAATGACAGAAACAAAAATAACACTGATAACATTAAGTATTAATGAGAAAATAGAATAATGGAAACTCTCATATAATGCTGGTGGAAATATAAATAGATATAACCAGTGTGGAAAACTAGTTGGCAGTATTTACTTCAGCTGAACATAAACATACTCTGTAAACAAGTAATTCCAGACAGTATGTTCTAACAAGCAGAAATGCATAAAATAAAATCATAAAGACATATACACAGGATTTTTTTTTTTTTTTTGGTTTTTAGTAATAGCCAAATCTGGAAGTAGCCTAAATATCTATCAACAGCAGTAAGGACATATAAATTTTGGTAGAGTCCTGCAATGTAATACTATACAGCAAAGAGAGTGAAACGATGTTTTCTATACTCCTCACGTTCTTCAAACGGTGAATGACTGAACATTAAAAAAAAAAAAGGGCTATATGTTTCCAATTAGATAAAACGCAGAAAGAGACAAAATTAAGTAATTTATTGGTGCAAATAGTTATTGTACTTGGCTGCTAATGGACAGAATGGAGGTTCAAGCCCATCTAAAAATGCCTCAGAAGAAAGGCCTGGCAGATTTACTTCCAGAAAAATTAGCCACTGGAAACCCTATATGGAGCACAGTTCTGCTCTGTCACGTGGCATCATCATGAGTCAAAGTAGACTTGATGGCAACTGATTATACTGTTACAAGCTAGGATATGGTTAATTTGAGGTGTAATGACTGGGGAATGGCATGAGGAAGTCTTCTGGAATGCTGTTAATGTTCTACTGTTGGACTTAGGGGCTGGTTACACAAATATTTTCACTTTGCAAACATTTATGGTGTTTTACACTTATGATTCATGCACATTTTCTATATAAATATTAGACTTCAATATAAAGATTGCTTAAAATTAATAAATAATATTATCCTTCAAACCACAAAAGATTCATTCCAATATAAATACATTATATCTTGAAGGAGTTAGGAAATGTAACTTCCTAGGAGGAGGAAATATAATTTTGATACAAAGTGTTACAAGAGTGTTGAAGAAACAACACCCAAGAGTGGATTAAGCTGCAATTACAGTGGTTAGGATAATGCAATCTGAGAGTCCATTGCAGACATCAGTGTTACCATATGATTCTCTCAACACAGGAGAAGAAATGTATTGAGACCGACAAGGAGAAAACCCCTACCCAGTGGTTGGCTCCCATTTAAATCTTTTTTTTTTTTTTTCCAATTGTCATTCCTCCAGAGACCTCATCCAGTAAAAATGATTTTCTCACAAAGTAATTGCTGAGTCTTCACGTATTTGCGAAATGCCTTAGGGAAAGGAATCTGCATATAAATTCTCCCTTAGTTATTCACCTGAGGAGCCATTATTCTTGGTAAGGACTGCTCTTCCTTCATATGTAGGTAGGTTTCTTTATTCTGCATATGTTCATAACCATTAAAACATTATTTACTTATGTAATCTTATGTATTGTCAGAATTGGATTGGATGAGATGATTAAATGACTAGACAGGAAGACGAATGCCAATTACAAGAAAGTGTAGACATTTAGTATCTAAATGATTGTTACTTAGAAAAGTGATGAAGGATCCCAGAGCATACAAAATATATGAAATCGTATGCTCTGGAATCTCTCACTTAATATAAATGATAGTTAACATTTATTAAAGGCTTAGTACATGTCAGGCACAGTGCTATACATATTGCACAATTTATTTTTGTGTAATTCCCAAAATCACCCTGTGGGGTAGTACTTTCAATAATTCCATTTTGCAGTAGAAGAAACTTAAGGCCAGAACTCTTAAGACACGTGTTCCAGATTATTCATATCGGAAAGGCTGAAGCCAGATGATGAATCCCACAGATTGACACCATAGCCTTTCTCACCAGTACACTCCACTATCCATAACAGAATTTCATTCTGCACCAAACCTGAGAAAACAAAGTTATTAACAGTATCCACAAGGGAGAGAATACCATCAGGTTGGTTTGAAAGTCAAATAACTGAATATGTATATAGAACTTAGATTGCCATTTGGCATATAAGACACTATGTCAAGTGCTTGTTAAAATTAGTGGTAAAGCTGAAATTCAGCATAAGGAATTCAGGGTGTAGAACAGTACTTGAGAAATGTCCAACTACAGAGTCCATGAATTGATTTTGTGCTAAGACTACTGGAGTTTTATTGAAACATTAATATATTTTGTTTGCTCTAATCCTAACATTTAAGAATGCCCCATAGTAGGTTACATGGGTGTAAGTATTTCTACTAACAGATGTGTTTGTGCATTTAAGATACAGTGTATTTTTCTGAATATAAATTCTATCTAAAAAAAGTAAACAAACAAGCTAAAAAGTGATGGGAGATTGACATGTAAAAATGGACGAGGCAACATCATTACTATGATTAAATTGAGAAAAACCAGATTTAACTTGATCACAAACTAAACTTTTGTTTGGTCATTCATATTTAAAAAATAGTTTTCTCTCACAGGATACTCTGAGTGAGTATAGATGATCCATATATAGAAAAATAAGCATGCACGTTTCAGTTAATATCAATATTGTTAGCCTTTTTTTTCTTTGTTGCAAACAACAGTAGTCAGCTCTGGCTATCCTAAGCAAAAAGTAACTGTTCTGGAAGGATGCTGTGATCTCCCAAGTCCTAGAAAACAGCATCCCATGGAGGTCTGGAACCCAGGAACCTGGAACCACACAGGACCAGTGTTCTTTTGCAGGATCAGTCTGGCCTTTAAGCCCCCACTGTGATCAGTCTGATGCAAAAATGTTTTGTTCACCTTGAATCACCCATTTACTGAGTTAAGATAACCAGGGACAAGCCTGTGATCCCTGCATACTCCTGTCTGAACCCAGGATCTGACATCTCAGAAGTCATAATGGAAAAGAGAAGTGTATGGCCAAGACTAGAGAATTTCCATTACTTTTCTACTCCATATCAAAACCAAACTCACTGCCATTCAGTTGATTGTGACTCATAGTGACCCTATAGCTCTACTCCATGACATAGGAAATTCCCTTCAAAAGAATGCTAATGGCGGGATAATTTAAATGTTGAGCAACTCTCACAACACAAATATTTTAAAATTCTTCCAAATAATACAAAAACAACAAAGAATCCTCCACACTGGCAAGACCCTATTCCAATGAGTCTGGACCAAAAAAAAAAAAAAAACAAATAAACAAACCCATTGCCGTCGAGTTGATTCAGACTCATAGCAATCCTATAGGACAGAATAGAACTGCCTCATAGGGTTTCCAAGGAGTGGCTGGTGGATTTGAACTGCCTTTCTTTTGGTTAGCAGTCAAACTCTTAACCACTGCACCACCAGGGCTCTAAATCATCAAACTAGCCCAGGTTTATTACTGAGAATTCTCCACTAGGGAATTGGTTGGGTGAAAGTTATTGAAAAAAAAAAAAAAAAAGGCAATGGAGCTAATATTATCCATTGATATTTTGTCCTTTTCTATCAACTCATCCTCTGTTCTCATTGTAATTGGGAATAAGGAAATTCTTCAGTCCTGAAGGTTGTCTTTTGGGCCAGGTAGGGCCAGGACCAGGCAGTGTTTCGTTCTGCTGTACACAGGGTCCCTATGAGTCGGAAGCAACTCGATAGCCCCTAACAACAACAACAGGCCCATAACTTACCTTTGTCAAATAAAAGGGACAGGCAAATGGAGAGGAGAGAAGCAAAATAGAAGGGAGTGGCAAGGGACAGGAGGAAGATAAAACAAGGAAAATAGACCACTATCTATGACAAAATAGAAGAGAGCTCTTGTGAAAGCCATCAGTTTTCAATGCCTAACTGGACTGAATTTACCAAGAATAAAAATCAGTTCAAATGAAGTGAGAAAAACTTGCTAAGAAGAAGGGAAAGGAATTTGGTAAGAAGTCATTATTGTAAATTTTTAAATTATACCATAATCCAATATAAATAAAGTTTCCTCTCACATTCAAGGAAATTATGAGAAGAAACTTCACTTCCGTAAGTGAGTTTATTCTCCTGGGACTGACCAATCGCCTGGAGTTACAGATGCTCTTCTTCCTGCTGTTTCTGGTCATTTACATGGTCACAGTGGCAGGGAATCTGGGCATGATTATACCCATCCAGGTCAATGCCCAGGTCCACACACCCATGTACTTTTTCCTGAGTCACTTATCCTTTGTGGATCTGTGCTTCTCCACCAATGTAACTCCAAAGATGCTGGAGACTTTCCTCTCAGAGAAAAAAACAATTTCCTATCCTGCTTGTCTGCTGCAGTGTTACTTCTTTATCGCCTTTGTCCATGTGGAGATCTATGTCCTGGCCTTGATGGCCTTTGACCGGTACATGGCCATCTGCAACCCTCTACTTTATGGGAGCAAAATGTCCAAGACTGTCTGTACATCCCTCATCACGGTGCCTTATGTGTATGGAGCCCTCACTGGCCTGATGGAGACCATGTGGAACTACAACGTGGCCTTCTGTGGCCCCAATGAGATGAATCACTTCTACTGTGCTGACCCTCCGCTGATGAAGCTGGCTTGTTCTGACACCTACAACAAAGAAACATCAATGTTTGTTGTGGCTGGGTGCAACCTTTCCTTTTCCCTCCTCATTATTCTTATTTCCTATCTTTATATTTTTCCTGCCATCCTGAGGATCCGCTCTACAGAGGGCAGCCACAAAGCTTTCTCTACCTATGGTTCCCAACTGACAGCTGTCGCCATATTCTATGCAACTCTTTTTTTCATGTACCTCAGACGCCCCTCAAAGGAATCTGTGGAACAGGGTAAAATGGTGGCTGTATTTTATACCACAGTTATCCCCATGTTGAACCCCATGATTTATAGACTTAGGAATAAAGATGTAAAAGAGGCATTCACCAAAGGGCTGTTGAGAAAAAAACTACTTTCTTAACAAATCTCATCATCTTTTATTCCCAAAGTTTTTTATAGACCCTTCTGTCAAGATTTAGGATAGAACTTGTGATGAAATGTAAAATCAGGTATAGCAAGTTAGAACTTTGCATTTTTAAAGTCTATTTTAATATTATAAACATACAAAATAAAATGTTGATTACAAAGGCTTACATGCTAGTTATAGTCATTCATTTTGTTTACTAGTTTTTTTCAGTTCTTTGACTTTTAGGTGTCTAGTAGAATGACATTTCTAGTCTCTTTGGGATTGTGTGGGGGCATGTGGCTATTTATGGACAATGAGTTAGATTAGAGGTCATAAGGGTTACTTCTCGTTGAGCATTTAACTGTTTGTGAGAGACCCCTCTTTTTACCTTTTTTTTTTTTTTTTTTCCTTTCATGGCTTCCACCCAGATTGAAGATGGTATCTGCTAACTCAGCTTGGGATCTTGAGTGAGGAGGCCTAGAACAGAGCTCTCAGTGAACTTGCAATGAAAATGTAGAGTGGATAAGAAATACTATTTGTTTTTATAAACTACTATGATATGTTGAGATTTCTTGTTTCCACATCATGAAGTAGCCTCTTTTGACCGATACAAATATTAATTATATAAAATTCAAATATGCAGAAACATATGACATAGAAAGTGAACACCCCAAACCATCAATTTTAAAATTTTGTGTTCTTAATGTAAACCATTTATATAATTTTAAATGTTAAATGATATACAAGGCCCACAAACAAATAAATGATAGGCTATTTCTCTTCTCCCCACCCCCAAGTTCCTGTGGGTAGCACCTTCTTATTATTATTTTTTTCTCATAATTAGTTGTATATTTTAAATTATGCACTATATTTCTATTTATTTATTTTTAATTGAGGATATTATCAATTGGTGCTATTAAAAAGAAAATATTAACATTGTTTTACCAATTCTTGCATTCCTACTCCATATCTACTACTTCCTTCTGCTTATCTGTACAATAGAGTCACATTTGAAGTTTTTTGTTAAAGCAATAGTTAGTATTAAAATTACTATAAGGATATAATTAGCAATCTGACAAGTTTAGTAATGTTCTATGAAGGCAATTATTTGATTTTCATAGAGCTTATAGAACTATGGGTCTCTGCATGGAGCAAAGAGTTAAACACTTGACTACTAGCCAAAAGATTGGCAGTTCAAACCCACCTAGAGGTGCCTTGGAAGACAGGCCTGGCATTCTGCTTCCAAAAGGTCATAGCCTTGAAAACCCTGTGCAGCACAGTTCTAGTCTGATACACATGGGGTCGCTACAAATTGGAACAGACTTGACAACAACTAATAAAAATACAGCAATAGAGTTACATTTTGGAAGGAAGAAGGTTCAGATAGCAAGACACCTAAACAAACAATGAAATCATTTCAGGTACTGGTAAGTGTTACGAGAAAGTAAAGTAAGACAATGTGGAAGAAAATGGTGGATCAGAAGTGTGAGACATGCTCCTGTGTTATTCTTCATGGAAGGGGAAAGTCTCTTGGAAGAGGCAACATTAAACTGAAGCCTAAATGATGAGAAGAAGACAAACATGAGTAGATCTTTGGGAAGCTTACCCAGCGGAAAGAATAGCAAGTATAATGCTTCAGGGAAGAATCTGACATGTTGGAGTAGCAACAAAAAAGACAGTGTGGCTGGAGCTTAATAAATGGGGGAAATAATAGGAGCTGAAGTCAGAAAGATGACCCCTTTGTTTCTTGCATGATGCTGCAGATGTCCAGAGTTGATATGGCAAATGGACTGCAACATTGTGCCTATGTGTCCATATTTCTGTTGCCGCCACCTGATACGTGGCTGACATTCCCTCAAGTTATACAGAATGAGAGAATCAGCAATTTTTGTAATCAAGATTTATTATTATTATTAGCTTTTGCAGCAAAGGGAATTTTACATAACAGTTAATGGCCTTTCTACTGCCTGTTGCCTCTTATCCCTTATCACTCATGATTCAGCTGAGGCATTGCCTCTTTCAGCAAGATTCCTCTAATACATTCAGGCTGTGTAGTTACCACATCAAGGTTCACTATGGGTTTACAATTCTGTCATTGGATTTATAACATAGTATTGCAATTAAATGTGTATACATCAGTTTCTTCAATTTTTCTCCTAAGGGACCGTGCCTTTTAATGTTTACCAGCTTAGCATAGTATCTGATACAGAGATGATGCTAAACTCACTTCTGTTGAATGAGTAAGAAGTTGTCTATTTCTTCCTTTTTCTGCTT